ACGGGCCCATGATGTCAATAGCGACCATCTGTAGTGGATAGCCTGCTCTAATGTTCTGTAGAGGAGCCCGAGCTTTTGCTGGTGGATCTTTGCGGGAGGAGCATAGCGTACAGGAGCGGCACCAGTCTGCGGCGTCAGTGTAATGGCCAGGCCAGTAGAATCTCTCTTTCAAGCGTCTGAGCGTCTTTTCCGTGCCTAAGTGACCACCACCAACTCCTTGATGAAGCAGCCCGAGTACCTCTTTCTGCAGTGACTTGGGAACGATTTGTTGTTCCCGTACCGCACCCACTGGCAAAAACATTCGGCACAGCACCCACTGGCAAAAACATTCGGCACAGCACCCCCTCCACTACTTCAAGCTGGTCCCAAATTTGTAGAAGACATCTAGTCTTTCGACTTGTTGGTCCAAGCTCCCCTAAACTTGGTTTGCATCCTTTCTCCCTTCCTTGCAGAAGTGGCCCAGCCGTTGGATCTGCTAGCTGGGCTCTCCGCAGGTCTTCAGCAGGGTGGATAGGATTGTGGATGAAGGTAGCCCCGATGACATTTCTCACTTCGTCACTGACACGTCCACATTGACGACAGGGTAGGCGGGATAAGGCATCGGCATTAGTGTGTTTTTTGTCACGGCGGTGTACGAGAACTCCTGAAGCCAGTTGTCCTTGTGGGTCTCGGAAATTTTGCAACCAAGTGAGAGAACCGTGGTTGGTTCGTAAGGTGAAATTCCTTCCCAGAAGATATGGGCGATATTGCTGGGTGAACACGACCACTGCCAGAAGCTCTTTTCGGGTTGCGCAGTACTGGCGCTCAGGTTTTGTTAGTAAGCGGCTTCCGTAAGCAATGACTTGCTCCTGGCCATTGGTATCGACTTGTGACAGAACTGCTCCAATCCCCACATCGCTCGCGTCTGTATCCAGGATAAATGGACGATTGAAGTCAGGGTGGGCTAGTACAGGGGGAGACGCAAGACAGTGACGGAGATCTTCGAACACTTCTTGGCACTCCTGAGTCCAAAGGAATTTGTTAGGGCGCTCTGTAAGCCGATGAAGGGTTTGGCGATTGTGGCGTAGCCTTTCACAAACCGGCGATAGTAGCCTGATAGGCCAAGAAAGCGCTGCATGTCCTTCGTCGTGGTTGGTGTTGGCCAGGATGTCACCTTGTCCGTTTTTGATGGGTCTGGACTAATTCCGTCTCGGGAGACGATGTGTCCCAGATATTGAACTTCCCGCTGGAGAAATGCACACTTGGACGGCTTGACTTTAAGGCCGGCTTCCCGTAGTCACTGTAGCAGATTTTGTAGGTGCTCTTCGAAACTTCGCCCTAGAATGATCACGTCATCCAAGTACACAAGGCTGTGGGCCCACTGTCGACCGGACAGAACCAGGTCCATGAGACGCTGGAAGGTGGCGGGAGCATTGTAGAGGCCAAAAGGCATTACTCTGAACTGGTACAATCCTTCGGTTGTACAGAATGCAGTCTTTTGCCGGTCGTCCCCGTGGACCTGGACCTGCCAGTAACCGCTGAGTAAATCGAGTGTGCTGAACCATTGAGAGCCGGCCAGAGTATCCAGCGTGGCGTCGATCCGTGGCAGCGGGTAGGCGTCTTTTTTGTCACTCCGTTGAGCTTCCGATAGTCCACGCAGAACCGTGTAGACCCGTCCTTCTTTTGGATCAACACGATCGGAGAGGCCCAAGGGCTGCGAGAGGGTTCCACGATGCCATTGTGTAGCATATTCTGCAGCAGGTTGCGAACTTCGTTTCGTCGCTGCGGTGGAAGACGGCGAACAGGTTGCCGGATTGGTGTCACGCTGCCCGTGTCTATTGAATGTTGCAGCAAGTCTGTCCGGCCAAGGTCCGTGGGAGACTCTGCAATTACGTCGGCATAGGACGCCAGGAGTTGGTAGAACATCTCTCTTTGTTCAAGCCTCAGGTCGGTGTCGGCGTTTTCCACAAGCGGCCACAATATTTCCTCTTTTTCTTTGGTCAGTGGGCTCCCCTTCGATATATCCTGCTCTAGCTCTCCGACTGAACCAACGACGTCACCAACCAACTCAGCAAGGGTGATCTGCTTTAGCGCGTAGACAGTACATGGTTCCGAAGTGCAGTTCACTAACCGTATGGGGATCATACGCAACTTAGGCTGCAGCAGAGGCAACCATAACGGCATTTGTGCCAATCCCAGAGGAGTCTTCTACGATCCATGTTCCACTCTCTACGGGTATGTCCAAGCACGCCATCACTTCTAGCTCAGTTCTCGCTGGTACGTCCAAGTTGCTGACAGCTCTCACGCCAACACGTCGGCTGGAGGGTGCGGAAGTGCGTAGAGGGATGGTAATGCCTGGGTCTTGTAGCCGAATCTGTTCGAACTCGAGGTCAATTGATGCCTTTTGCCTCTGAAGGAAATCCAGGCCGAGAATACCCTCTGACGTCAGCGGACTGACGACGACGACGTCGACAGGGAGTTTGTTGCCGTTCAGCTCCAACACCACGGGTGTACTACCGTAAGTCTGCAGAGGTGTTCCGTCGACTCCAACCAATCCCAGTGCAGGGCACGGTGACAGGGACAGCTCATTAGCGGTGGCCTGGGACACCCGATCCCATGCATCTTTTCGGAGTAGAGTTACTGCAGCCCCTGTATCGACGAGCAACGACACTCTGACTCCATTGACGGCTCCATCCAGGCGATAGCCACCTACAGGTGAAACGGGAGAAATAGCAGTCACTTGCTTATGAGCCTTACACCCTCCGACGGACGGCTCTCTCCATCGGAGGTAATTCGTTTCCCGGCTGCGGCTGAGGTTGGCGGCAATTGCGGGCAATATGCCCCGGCCGTTGGCAGTTCCAGCATACGATGGGCCCGGTACTCCGACGTTGGCGCCGGCCCGAGACGGAAGGCCGGGGACCCTTTTCGCGTGTAGCAGAGGGAGATTGCTGCCGCTCCAGGGTCTGCACACGCCTCACAAGTTTCTCCATCACGACCGCCTGCAACATTAGCCTTTAAGGCCATGAAATTTTCAATTTGAATCATAAACTTCCTTTCTATTTTACTACCCAAGTTACCTGTATTAGATTGCTACGTATAAGAATTGCAGTATGTAAATCAAAGCATGTTGACTGTGTTTGTATGCTGCTTCCTGAATCACTTTCACCTTTCTTTACAGTGAACTTTCAGTATCACTACAAGATGTTCAGCATGACATTGAGGTGATTTGGTATTATATAACAGTCAAACCATGCAGTCATCAAGAATATGGTCAGGTATCATTTAAGTAGCGGGTTTCTGTGCAACGTACAGATTGTCTTGTTGATTGCCTTTTGCTTGTGTTCTGTTGCTTTGAGCCATTCCTTCTTAACTGCCCTAGTAGCTTACTCAGTCTAGAAAGAAGATTCTCCTCAGTTCAAGTAGTGTCGTTTTACCTACATGCATTAGTTAAAATCAGATGTTGCATGTTATGTCATTTGCTTTACAAACCACTCGTTAATCTGAGAGTTGGTCATGGGCGATTTAGTTAAAAAAATCCTGCAAATTTTTAATTTCAAAGGAGGAATGTATTAATAAAAAGAGACTTGGTAAGGGTCAGATATATAAAGCATTGTTTATGATTAGCCTGTAAGCACACTGATACCCAATTATTATTTCTGCTACATGCCATTCTCTAACTGTTTATAATGGTTGTAGTTGCACCGTAATGTAACTTTTCCACTCTGTTATTAGCGAGCGAAGCAAGCATACCTAGTCGTATGAATGGGTATTTTTTTATATCTGCTGCACACACCGTAATGGTGAATGTCTTGAATATTCGTGGTACTTGGTCTACTGTTTTACACATCATCGAAAACTTTGAACCCAGTGGAAGGGTTTTAAAGAAAGAATATAGTGCAGAGGCAGTCTTCACGAGAAAGACCTGGAATTTATCTTTCAAAACCACACCCAGTAGTTGAAGTGACTGAAAGTGCTGTATATTGTTGGAAAGACGTTGTGCATTGACAACACACATCGGAATCAAGAATGAGAAGATTAAAGATGTGTTTCTCTATTCACCACAGACACTACTTTGCATAGATTTAACTGGAACCGATTGTTGTGATGTTTTACAAAAAGGTGGGTACAGCATTAGAGGACAGCCAGCAGTGAAGCAATGTACGTTGACAGGATGTGACACCAATTGCAGCAATGTCAGCAGGCTGCATTGTAGCACTAGAAATAGTCAAAGGTGGTGTTGATGGTGATCCCTCGTATAGGATTGTCTGCCATTCCCTTCTTGTGAACGGCCTTCACTGATTTACACTACCTTTCCCTCTACTCACCTGATTATAGCCCAATTGAGCTTTCCTTTTCGAAGGACAAGTACTAAGGACTAAGGCAATTTGAAAAGGATAATAAAAAGGATGAAGACACTGACATAACGTCATTTGCTTGCATTGCTGCAGAATGTAACTCATTGATAAGAGGTTGCTGTTTTTGTAGTGCAATGTATGCCAGTGTATCATATCGAAGTTTCTTACACTTAAAGTCCTCCTGACTCAGTACGTTTTCTTTTCAGGGGAGACAATATAGAACCGAGCCCACTCTGATTGATCTAAGGAGACTGTATGGGGCTTGTTGTAGATGTCTGATTGCTAGAGCTCATTGCCTTTACAACGGCAGTAGCTGTGCTCACAATATTTTCTTGAGGTTTTCTTTCATCATAGAGACCCCTTGATGTAATTCAGAGTCGAAGAATGTCTTCGTGCATCTTCTGAAGCACATCTACTTGTTTTTTTTCTTGTCCTGACCTTTATCTCCGTAACAGAAGTAAATCATAGCTCCTCAGTTACCTCCGTAGCACTGTAAGTTTGGTGTATTATTTATCGAAGTAGGCATGGCAAAGGGTACTGGATATTTTATTAGCTGTAGTTACGTACTACAATGTTGACCAACTGAATCACCTAAATTTCCATACCAATTTCATACATTCATTGAAGTGGTTATTCTAGCTGTCATGCCAGACACTGCGAGAGGCTGTGCTAAGAGAGTAACCTGACACTGCGGCTTGTCTGCTGTGGTTTGCCGGCAGCCATCGTGTCACTAGCAGAGCTTATGTTCAATCTGAAGCTTCAACACTGGCCACACCACCACACATATATGCCCTGCTATATTTAACCACGTATGCATTGATGCAATCGATCAAGATCTTGATAAAAGGACAGTAGTAGTATGTTCTTGAATCTATTTTTAATCTTCTTTTATCTAAAGTCGCTTGCTCGAGTGAAGTTTCCTCTGCACAAGCCCTATATTGTCACGCCCTCATATGATGCGCAGCTATGATTTATTATGCCCTCTCCTGTAAACTGGGTTTTTTTTTCTACGTCGTGAGAAGTGAAGGAATCTTCCTCCCCTTCAACCCCATCTTCCGACTATTAGTATTATACACAAATATATCCTGTTGGCTGTGCCACCCCCTACCCCGTAAAAAAATTTAAGAAATGCCACAGACGTCTAAGCGTAAAGTTCAAGTTAGGTTTTGATATATTGTCCTCCTGCTTGGGGACAAGAATTTGTCAGGTGATCGACATGATATAGTGTCACTGTTTTGCCTTCTTTTATTTCTTTTCTCATGCACATTCCTGAAATAGTTGACATATTGCCACTCAAACCTTACTTTTTTTCGTAATATCAACTGCTGCTGTTATATTTTGCAATGAAGAAGGCTATGTAGCCAAAACATGCTTAATGTGTTTTGATAATATACTACATTATCTCTTTAATAATTTTTTTACGCTTTGCATTTGATTCAGCAAGAATTGGAGAGAGCACTTTCAAAGGTGGCTTTGAAATTTAACGCTCACCATTATGGGCAAGTGCAGCAGGCTTATTGCATCCTGGGAAAGACTCAGGTTGGTGAATATATGTAGGTGTACAAGTAAGTAAACACTTCTGAGTTGAAGAATGATGAATACAGGACAAGACCTAGTGCATGTGCTGCAGTAGTACGATGGGTTAATGCAGCAAATAGTGTGTAATTTCCTCCACGTGCATTTGTGGTACTTAGTAAAATTAACATGTCTACAGACGCCTTCATATACTTGGCAATTCCTTGTTAAATTATTAAAACACAGTGCTGTAATTTTGTCTGTATTCTATACTCTATGTGTGCGTTCATACAAGTCTAACTGGCGGACTGGAGCGTTTTGCGAAGATGTCGTGGCTGGGAAAGACATATCCAATGCGTACGACTTCAGCGCGAGGACCTATTGCTCCCGGGGAGATAAGCACAGGGTAAAGAGAAGCTGTATGGACCGTGGAGATATTTCTCAGAGCCGCTCGTAGCGTACGTTGGCGGTGGTAGCCAGGCTGGAGCAACCAAGAGCTTGCTAATCTCGAGCATGCGCGAGCATACGTATCGGCACTAGCTCCGCTTCAAGCTCTTAGTGTGACTCGCTCACTGCGCTACGTGTACTGGGCTGCCATGATGTACAGAACTTCAAACCAGTGTCGAGAAAATGGTTCATTAGCTCAACTGCAGGTTTATACAATGATATTCATTGCAACCGCTGGTTTAGACAATGATATTCATTGCTAATACATTCGATGCCGCAGTTCATGTGTGACCGGGTTGTTTTAGCAATGAATAATGATAACATTCCACACAGCTGGGGGTATATATACGGAACTATGCAGCACCTTTGATTTGATTGCCTACTGGGCTACAATGGTAGTTATAATGGTAGTGAATGAAAGGTCCTGGGTTTTATCCCTGCCCCAGATTTTTGATGGTGCATACCTAGGCATCCATTCTGTGTTCATACCTGCTCTCAGAGAAGACACATGCGCAGTGCAACAGAATGGTAGTGCTTGACCGGGTAATCACATGACTGACAGGTTGAATTATGCAATTTGCGTATACATGCTGATTCAGCATAACCAAGAAATCAGAGGCTGTATACGTATATATACCAGACAGTCTTTCACACGGGAGCACGTGAGGGTCTGGGCACGAGACTAAGTTCTCATGCAACCTTTGAACAGGTGCATGCGCATTATCATAGTGTAGAATGGTATTCAGTAGGCTCGCTTTTCCATTTAACCATCTCCGTGAATGTGAAGCGAAGGTTAGAGTACTTGGTCAGCCTGTCCGTCTGTTTTTTGACACTTATTCTGGGACTGCAGTGCGGATGTGGGATACCAACAACTTAGGAACTATGCGAGCCTTAAAAATAACAGACGATTTCCTGAAACGACTGCGTTTGAGAGGTAAGCTGTGAAAACAAGCTAAGAAGTCACTATGTACAATCGCACTGGGCTTACCACGACCTGATCCTGCTCGCTCTGTGTACCTTGGCACAACGAAGGGCCTCCTGCACGCTATATACTACTGTAGCTTGCTTGTGGTTGGCTGCGGCAGTCTGCCATGAACTTTCTAATCTCGAGCATACGCGAGAATAGCGTTCCCGTAGCATTTTTCACATGTAGCAGCAGTTGTGGCACTGACTGTGCTTCAAGCTCTGGGTGCGATTCACTCGCTGCACTTCGTGCACTGGCCTGCCATGATGTACGTATGTATGGAACTAGCCGTTTTTATGTAGTTCAAAGTGGTTCATTGGGCTCAGCACAGTTTTTATAGAATGATATTCATTACTAATACTTCCCTTGCCATGGCTAATATAATATGTTACCATGGTTAATCATGATATGTGTGATCGCAGGGTGTATTAGCAACACTATTAACGAGTTACCTGAGGCCATTTGTTTTTGTTTACAAACTTGTAGCTTAACTCAGTGCTCAAAGTTTCATTGTTAAAAGTGAACATATAGAAATTTCAAATTACTACGTAGGTAGGCTTGCTTCGCTCGCCAATTATTATTGCATTACAACACGGGATGGACAAGAGGTAAGAAAAGTGAGAGGGTCTGTGTTTTATAATCTGAAGTGGCTAAGCCAACAAAACACGCACACACAATCTATGTGAGATGGGATAGATAAAGCATGGTTTACAAACATTTTAGCGTGCTAATAGCAGCCCTATCATGAACAAATACACCATGTGATGCCAAGAGAAAAAAGATGCGGAGTTCTGGACAGCTGTTTCGGGCTTGTTGGCCCTCTATATTTTGGTTCTATAACTGTGTTCGTTAGTCAGTAGCTTGTATTTTCGAGGTGCAGGTCCTGACATATTATTAACCCTCGGCGTGCATGTGCAGTGAAGGTGGTCTATCTCGCACTACAGGCTACGTGGCGGCCCATGAGTGATACCCTCAGCATGACATATTATTAACCATCGGCGCGCATGCGCAGTGAAGGTGGTCTATCTCGCACTACAGGCTACATGGCGGCCCATGAGTGATACCAACAGCTTCAGAACTACGTGAACCTGAAAAATAAAAGCGATATTCCTGAAAAGACTGCATTCAAGAGATATGCCGTGAGAGTAGCTGATCGGAATATGAAAGGACAGCTTCGTTCTTTTTGACAAAAATTAACAAGCTACAGCATGCATAAAGCATCGGTTTGTCGACTACATAGTAAAATCTCTGGTTTAGGCTCATTATCAGCCTGTCTGTTTTTGGGAATGGGCAGACCCAAGTTAGCGTTCTCAGCTTACCGTGTTACCGGGTGCGGCAGAGACCATGGACAGACACTTAAAAGATCATCTTAATAAGAGTTCTTTTATGTTGAAAGCATTCTAAAAGTCAGATTGTTTCTGCCAAACTGACTGCAGAATATGTTTCAGTGCTCATATATGTTCGAACTCTAAGGATTTTCCTCACCTCATACTTTCACAGACCGCTGTGGATACACTTATGATGAGGTTTACTACAACCATCCATGATCAAGCATATGCTGTTGTTGCTGACTATGTCAAGGTACACGCATTTTTGGATAATCCTTGATAATAGGAGTGGTGAAAATTTTCGTGTTCGTAACTTCGGTAGGAGACTGGATGAATTTTAATCATAGTGTGGGAGTTTATTCACATATTCATGTGAGTGTTATAGTACGTATATCCTGAGCACAAAGTGCGTTTGCATTCAAATCTTCTCTTTGTATGAACGCGTTCAGACGTTCAATTATACAGACGCAGGCACACACGTGCGTGTTATGCGGACGCAATCACGCGCAGTCAAAACGCACCCGCACATGCATTCATTCACCATACTCTCCTGCACTGCTTGTGCGTCGATTCAACCACACGCTCCTGTACTATACTAAAAATGATATTTCCGACAACAGGTAAGTACGTATCTCGGGTAGTCGTGCCAGCTTTTTAGCTAGTAGATGAGCGGCGGGATGCCTTTGCTACCAGGGCACGGAATGCAACCCCCTTGATTGGTTTTTGTTGTACCCAGTTGGCACCCCTCTCTTCACGGCTGGGTGCCTCGCCAATTTTTTCCCCTTGCCGGAGGATGGGTCACGGCGAGCTCGGATGTATAGGTCTGCTGAACCGCTGCAAAGATGTTCGCCTGACGTCACCCAGTTCTCAAAGACGAGCCCGAGCAAAGTCGGATCACCCTTAATTGAATGCACCACGTTGAAGCTTCCGGTTTAATCTCCGTGTACGGGACGCTTGCGTAACCACTGGGAGAGGACTGTCGACGCATGAAGGCTTGGATTTCATTCAGTGCTGGGTCTGAATGCTGCGTGCTGCTGGAAGATCCTACCGACTTACTTGGAGCTGCTGTCTTCCTCAGCTTTGCACATGCTGTGCCACTGCGCATGCGCCCCCAAGGACATGCGCACTAGGGGTTTTACGTATTACTGGTATTAACACTTCACCAGCCAAGGACACATAATGTGTCCATTGTCTCCATAAGTAGCAAGATTTTATATAGAGGTTTTAATATTAGGTGTTAATACTTTGTACATGGTTTCTGCTTGTATATTAGTAGCGTGGAAAGGGTTTAAACTACATTTGTTCTTTTTTAAGAGTGGCATGTCCATTGTACTGTGATTGCTGCAGATGCAATGTACCAAATAAAGTTTAATCATGGCAAGTTGCTCTACTCGCGCTGAACAAACCTATACTTATACCATCCCTTTATTCCTCCTTTTGTGAAATTCGCAGGTTTGGGTACTTAATCTCAAAGTGTTAGCTACGTACTTGTTTTTGTTAGTTCTTGTTGTGTATTTTCTTAGAAAAGTGGAGAAGATACAACGGATGATCACAATCTAAAGGCACCCTATGCAAGCCTTTGTAAAGTAGGTGCATGGTACGTATTTGTTATGAATCTGCTTTAATTGGTTTTTGTGTTTACAGCTTGTTAAGGCCGAATATTTCATTCCCTGCCTAATGGAAGTGTGTCAGGTATGTTTGCTTTAGAGTGCAATGTTGCATATTAACAAATGTCGCGGATTTTTGGGCGAGAAAGAAAGTCAATTTTGCATGTGTTTAGGATCACTTAGAACCATTACGGTATGCGCAGCTCACGTCACATGTATACAAACAAGGGTAGAAAATTCCGCATTCAGATGACTCATTACGTTCTCTTTTGGTCAACAATAACGCTCTTTCCTGCTTGCATGGCAAATGATGCATAATAACCGAGCAGACATTCTGCGTGCAAGTACTATGTAGTAATGGCTGAGAATGTCTTTAAGTACAGTCTTTAGTACATACGGCTGACACAGGTTATCCTGCATTATGCCCATACATTTGTAATTTTCACATTTCACTTTCAGTTTCAATCAGATCCAACTTCTGTCTTCAGTTGGATCCCTATTGTCAAACTAAGCATGTATATGCCTTAGTAACAGTCGTCGATTTTTCAAGAATGTCTGGTCCAAGTCACCTCAACAGACTCCCTTTTAAGTAAAACAGCACAGCACTTTTACATTAGCCTGCAATCTCATGCACCACATAATGAGCTTCTGCAAATTTTCCGGTGACACCTATTGCATTGTCCTGAGCTTATCCAGTCCCAACCTACATAACTGTTCCCAAGTAAAAACCCAACAATACTTCCACTCTCATGTAGTTCCCAGTTGTTTGAAAGCCTGTCTACGAATGGACAAAATTTGTAAAAAAACGACATTCCTTAGCCTGCGCTACGCCCTGTTTGACCTGTGTATCACGGACTACTCAGTTATAATAGCCTCCGCATCTTCCCTTTCACATAAAGCTCCCACAACTTCAACCCCTGACCATTATACTGCATAACTCTACCCTGCACAAGCACATACAGATGTATTGATGTTATCAGCACACCCCCTATTTTGCTAAATACTGCCTAACCTAGCCTGCCTGACCCTTGTATTACTTAGGTGTTTGGTCGAGAGTTCTTGCCACAGTTGTAAGTAATCTTTTTCCCACATACCAAATCGAGTCGCAACGAAAACCCCAGGCAAAAACTAAATTTGTTGCTTTTGTACCTTGCCATATCTACACACTGTGTAAGCTTTATTATCATAGATCAAAACGCAGGAATACTGTAACTATAATATATTTATTTGTTCCTAATTTCCTCAATTGTTAAGCATTTCTCCTACTGACATGTACGAGAAAAACCTGGCAGTGTGAATGGTAATTCCAAAAGAATACACGCCATTTTTCTTACAATTCTTGAGCTTACATGAACATTTGCCGACATTCCATGTTCATTTCATATTGGTTTTTGCATTTCATATTGTTGTGTGATGATATAGTTTTGCATTGTTCGCTATCTACTTAGTATTATCTATTACTTATTTATCTATCATACAATTACTTTTTACTTTGTAGGTATTTTGGAGAATTATGTTTTGCTACAAAGAAGTCAAGGAGTGGCACAACCAGGGTGGTTTAGAGACACAAAGTGAAAGTGTGGATTGGACCTTTGATCGAAGTTACGTTAGAACCAAGTTGGAAAATGGCCTGCTTAGAGTGTGGAGGGTATGTTTAATTGATATACATGGTAGGGTCGAATAAACAACTGGGTTTTATTTCGTAACTGAGTTTGTTGATCTGGCAAATAAAGAAGTCTGTCATCTAATCGAGACAGTCGTCAATACGTATGTGTACACACTCACCGATTATCGCAATATAGCTGTAGCTTTTTTGTTTGCCTTTGGCTGGGTAAGTTGCTTCATTAGAGAGTTTTTGCAGAAGCTGTGATACGCCATTCAACAATTACAGCTATTAATTGTTGCTATGAGACACGCTAAGCGCTACACTGTTCTGGGTTACAGTACTTGGTTCATAATTGTGTGTGTGTTTCTGTCTTTTTTGCCACCACACACAACAAGCCTGCCAAAAGGCAAAACTAATGTTACACTGGCTTGATTTTAAATACGGCGATTTACTGCGTTTTTGTGTTAAAACCAAGTGAACAAGCCAATTGCAAATTACCAGTTGCTTACCTCGACCGCATCCCACATGTTTGCGTACCCTTTAGGCATAAAAGGATACAACAGAGAGCGAGTATCGAGTGTTGCGATGCCTATAATGCTGTCTAAAATGTAGCAAGCCCGTGTAAAACTCCAGAAAGCTTGCGAGAGGCCACGATAGTGTAGCCCAACCCATCAATTACCAGTTCTGATCTGCGCATAATGGGGGTGCATACATGTATGCGTGTGTTTCTAGTACGCCGATGATTTGCACTTTCATCTGTGTGTTTTCTCTTAGGATGTACAGCAAAAGGTACGACCATACATCCTGGCTCTTGATATGTCACACTTTAAATATGATGACTTCATCAGAGTGCTGGATATTGTGAACAGGTTACTCAGTAGTTAAATCAAAAAGAGGTTTCTGATTTTTTGTATACACCTCAATTATTACAGACGTTTTCTGAAAGATATAAGGCAAAATCATAGTATAATAATGCACCTTGTTTCTCTTACTAGAGGGTAGGTGCTGGAGCAATAAAACACAGATATGGATTAGCTATGCTTCCACTGGATTTTGTGCTTTAGGGCCATATTTCGGAAATTATGCTGTGCACATGAGACACCTATCACAAATCTATGCTTATCAAATTAATAGACTGCACGTGACAATAATTGCCACTGAATAAAGGACCCTCAGAGTATCCGTTAGGCTCTTTTTTCCATGAGGAACTGAAACTTTGTACACTCTTGCGAGCGCAGGGGAAGGGAATGTCCAGTAACTTTTGCCAGCATTCAGTGGACGGCGCCAGAATGTTGGTGCTGCTACAAAAATGTAAAGGGGTTGAGCAATCATGCTGTTTTCAGCCTAAAGCCAGGATTTACGGCTGAAAATGACTGAACACAGCCTTACCATCTGACCTTTCTCGTCGTTTTTCAGCCTCTTCGGACACCTCGAACACGCTAGTCAACACGAAACGAAGTAGTGGGAATGTTCATCGATGGCCACGAAGAGGACGATTCGCTGATCTGTAAAAACACTTACGAGGCCTATACTTCTGCATGGCACACAATTCATGCAGCACAAACTTACAAGTGAAGCTGAACCTTGCGAGCTGATTTCATTTCACCACAATGTCGATGTCACACATTATTAGGAGACCTGGCAATAGGGATTCAAGCACGGTTTAATAAGCCTTGTTCACATTATGGCACTAGACCTTCATTTCGTTCCATTTTGTAGGCTATCGTACCGTCAATTTTGTGAACAGCGCAGCACATTACGAACATCAGTGACGAAACGAAACGGCTGTATAGGGCGAAGTTGTATTCAACTGTCAAACCACCATCTGAGCAATCAGATCACACTAATTTGTGTAAAATGTCAAATACACTGCACTCAACCAGTGTATTGCCAGAGGAGGTAACCCATCACGTAAATCGCATAGCAATTTCAATTAGCAAGTTGTTGAAGAATATTTTGTTCTGTTTATAGTTAGTTTTACTGTATACCATTACGAATTCTGTCCTTTGGTTGTCTCAGCTAGCGGTATTTGTTGGGCAAGCATTAATATTTGCCAGTAAAGTGCTACAATTAAATGTTGGGGGCATTCTCCCAAATTGCGTGGGCATCGATATTTTAGTCAATAGCATGGCTAAAATGCTCGTGAATTATAGTGAATTTTGGTACCTGTCTCGGATAATAAGCGGCCAGGCTTACCCTCAAGGTAGCTGCTTAGGTGCTGCTGATATTTCATGGCGTTGTTCTAACCGCCATTGACTTCTCTGCGCTAGTGCATGCTTGCTAGCATTCCAAGCTCCCAGCCCTCACCCTTAAAGTGTGTTGAGCATGATTACTCGCCTCACCGACATGCGCTGTTCCATCATGTAAGCCAGTTACACAAAAGGCTTCACAGGTTCTACTGAATACTACACTCTCTGACTTAGTTTACATAGACTACTTGGGCTGCTCTCATGTGGACTCTGGTAAACTAAGCTATAGGTCCCTGTTTGTGTACGTATATAAGGTTCTCGTGCCTAACAGATTTTTTTCGATGTTTTTGTGTTGTTTAGGTTGATATCGATTGGTATGGAGTTTTGTGGTGAGGGATCCAGCAGCCTTCAAGATTCTATGAGACAGCAGAGTCTGAATTACTTCAAGAATTACCACAGGTAAACAATGTAGAGTGCCCCGGTTTAACTCTACCTAAACTTTTGTATCCTCTTCACAGGGCAAGACTTGAGGAACTAAAGATATTCCTTGAGACTGAAGCATGGGAAGTTTGTCCTGTCCGATCTACTTTCTCAGTTCATCAGCTGAGGGTTTGTTTAAAGGTGGATGTATGCAATACGTTTGCTTTGTGTGCAGGAGTTTCGCTTCATTATTTTCTGCAATGTCAGCAAAATACTATTCACAGAAGGTGGCTTGTTTTTTGTTCATAAACATTGCAGATTCTTATATACTTATGCAGGATCGTAGCTGCTTTACACAGTCTCCGTAGATGGCAACCCTTTTACTCCTCTGACGAAATTGAAGAAGAAGTTGAAGAAATTATGACCATGGAGGGTGAGATTGTGAATTGTATTGATGATACCTTGCCAAAAATGAGATTTGGTGCCCATTATATAGATTGAGGACACTGTTAGTGAGAGTGAACATGAGGAAGACAATTTGAAGGGTATGATAATTTCTAGGAACTTGGTGCATGGTAGATATATCTGTAAATTTTGTGTTGCTCAGATGACTTAAAGCATGCCTTTGTTGACGAA